AATTTTGCTTCTCCATTGAAAATTGTTGAAATTTCCGACTCTATATCCCCCGAATTCTTTCTTACGAAACCCTAATCTTTCTTCTCCCTTCTTTTCGACGGCCTCCTTTTGATATTGTTCTCTTTTGTCTTTGTTTTGATTTTCTTTTCAGACTCTGAGACCTCTTCCGACTCAGTTGAAATACTACCTTCTGCTCTTGAGGCCGTTCCTCTCTCAATCCTTCGTCCCGGTGATACTGTCCCCACCCGCGTCTTCACCGCTCAAGCTGCTTCTTCCAACTCCGGCGACACCATGGATAATATTCCCCTCCGACGCCGCCGACCTGCTCTTGGCGAGTTAGATGAACCTGAGAGGGACGAAGTTGCCTCTCCCTCTTTGACCGTCCCTCTTTCTTCCTCCCAACCTAGCGCTTCTGCCTCCCCGCCCAAGAAAAAATCGACCAAAGCCACCTCTAAAACCTCTTCCAAACATTCCTCTTCTTTTTCCCTTTCCAGTGACTGGGTTAGTCCTTCCAGGATCGGTCGACCTGTTGGTTGGACCTTCTACCTCCCTTCGGAGTCCGACAAATATGACCAGCCTCCGGAGAATTACTATACCTTCTTCGAAATCCAATTTAAGATGGGCTTGCGTTTTCCCTTGAACCCCGAATTACTTCAAATTTGTGAGTGGTTTGGGCTCCCCTTGCATCAACTTCCTCCAAATGCCATCCGCTTTATGACCATTTTTATAATCCTCTGTCATGTTCGCCTCGGTCGATTCGACCTCGCCTTTTTTCATTACTGTTACACTCCTTCCAAACAAGCCCGAGGGCTCTACCTAAAGAGTCGCAACGGCGCTCACTTCATCAATGACATCCCCTCCAACCTGCCTAAATGGATCGATAGGTTCATTTTCGTTCGACCTGAGGCACCATTACCTTGGCCTTCCATCCCATGGGTGAAAGAGGTTCCCTTGGAAGTTTCTGCTCCCCCCTCCAATCCCCTTTTCGAGCAACGGGTCCATACTTGGAATTCCAAGACCGTTGCATCTGAAAAACTTCTCAAGGACGAGAATCTTCTCCATTTTTGTGGTCTTATCACTCACAAGACCCTCTCTCCTCCCACCGAGGAAATTCTCGATCTTGTTCGTATTGAAGGTGACCCAGGTAGTTCCCGATCAGTTTGCTTTGAACATTGTCATGTATTTGTTATCCTCCCTTGTAAGTAGGTTCTAAAGTTGGTTCTTTACTCTGTTTGATGCGTTTGTGCAGAGGCCCCCAGCTTCAACATTCCTTTGAGGAGAGTGCCTCTGAAAAAGAAGTCAGGGGCTGCCGCTGGCTCGACCAGCGATAATGTCGATGACTCGACCAGCTCCGGCGGGTCTCGGCCAGAGCCGCAACAGCCATCATCCTCACAACAAACTCCACCGCCTCCCCCACGATCACCTTCACGGCAAACTCCTCCTCCTCCGCCACCGCCCAAGGGTACCCAACAGCAGCAGCAACAGAAACAACAACAGCAACAGCAACAGAAACAACATCAACAACAACAGCAACAGCAACAACAGCCACAGCACAAATCCGCTTCTCAATCGACCATCAAGTCCTCAACCTCTTCCAAGGTCGACGATCGCCAGAAGACTGCTGACCGTCAACAGAGATCTGGCGACCGTCCGAAGTCCACTGATCGTCACCACCAGGTCGACGATCGTTCAGTAAGAACTGACGACCGTCAAAAGGTCGACGGCCGTCAGAAAATCGACCACCAGGCTCCCCCTCCTAAGGACTCCGCTTCTTCCAAGACCGCAGACCCGACTGCCGCTAAGTCCTCTGAACTCCACCTCTCATCCAAGACTCTGGTTCCAGGAAAACCCCCTCTCGACCAGCAATCCATGAAGACCCAATCCGCCGGCTCGACCAAGACACTGGTCGAAACCGGCGATAAAGTTGATACCGTGCTGGGGAAGCGGCCCCGCACCGAACAAGGTGCGGTCGTCTGGAAGCGGGGTCGTGACAGTCATCTCCCTCTCGACCCCCTCGCCCCG